GGAGCGGGTTTTGGGCTGCAAGGAACGCAGGATAGTGATAACTTCTCGCTCCCGGCACACGCGGAGGGGGTGCGGCCGCACCCCCCGCACCCCTAGTTCCGACGTCTATGGAGTCAAGCCATACACCCAAATATCTGAATGTCTCGACAGGTACGATTGGCAAACCATCCAAAGATACAATATTAAGTGCACCAACTGTTGTACGTTGGTTTTTATCATAAAATAACATTGAATGGGATTTGGTTTTATTGAGAAGTAGCTTGTTTTCTTGAAGCCAATGCTGTACGTTATCGAAGTCATGTTGGAGAAAGTTTTGAATATCAATGATGTTAGGTTTGGAACTGTAAATATAGTATCGTCTGCATAAAGTTGAATATTGCAATCTCTGCAAGCAAGGGGAAGATCATTGATAAAAATAGAGAATAAGAGTGGTCCAAGTGATGAACCCTGCGGCACGCCTCTATCAATGGTTTTAAAATCATAGTGATTACCTTCAAATGAAACGCATTGTTGGCGAAAATGAAGATAAGAGTTAAACCATAAAAGAGAGTTCCTATCAAGACCAATTGAGTGTAGTTTATCTAACAGAAGATAATGATCAACCATATCAAATGCTTTTGAAAGGTCAATAAATAATGCACCAGTGAGAAAATTATTGTCAAAACCAGTAAAAATGTAATTTGTGAACTTGAGTAATGCAGAAATTGTTGAAAAAAATGGTCTAAAACCAGACTGAAAACAAGATAAAATATTGTTGCAGGACAAGTAATCAGATAATTGATTACAAATTATTTTTTCAAAAACTTTGACAATGCAATTAATAATCGATATGGGCCGATAATTATTACAAATTCAAATGTATTTATTTATTTGCTCATGTCATGTCAGGCCATTACACCATTTTTTTAAAATCCATACATGGACAAAAAGGAACAGAATGAAGATTAATCTTGTAATATCTGTTCCCATTAGCAAATTTACAAAATAAAATCAGAAATCCCCATCATTATACCCCAACTCATCACCAGGTCACAAAACATAACAAAACAGCTCGTCTTACAGTTCACTTTAGTTGTTTTCAATTTTTTCGTAATCACTCAGAATTTTGTCTTTGTACATTTTTTTGAATTTGTAAACACTTGTACAACATTTAAATTCCACACTTAAAGAATTCCACAATTTGACTCCGTAAACAGACAAACATTTCCGTTTCACCGATGTTCCTGCAAACATGTTCCGAAAATTATATTTTCTACTATGGGAACGTCATGTGCAACAAAATTACTTTGAACATCATTTGGCAATTTTTTTTGTTTAGCTTTCCACATAATAATCAACATTTTTAAGTCGACGAGATCCTTAAATTTAAGAAGTTTATTTTCAATAAATAAAGGATCAGTGTGTTCGTACTGATGATTCTAATTGCTCTTTTTTGCAGCAGGAACAAGGGCTTGGTGGTACAAGTATATGTGTTACCCCAGACCTCAGCACAATAACTGAGATATGGGAGAATCATTGAGGAATAAAGCATCCTCAACAAGCTACAATCAAACAAATCTCTAACTTTATATAAAATGCCAATACTTTTGCTAACCTTTCTTTTTACATACTCAATATGAGCTTTCCACTTTAATTTTTTGTCTAAAATAACACCTAGAAACTTAACTTCCTCGACTTTTGTTATACCGACTCATCAATTGTAATTTTCACATTATCAATTTAGCTATGTTTACTGAAAATCATATAGTTTGTTTTATCCCAATTTAAAGATAAATTATTTTTGTTAAACCAATTTCTCACTTTTAACATTTCTTCTTCAATTCTTTCCGATAGCTCCAACAAATCACTTCCTGATTGAAATATACTGGTGTCATCAGCGAACAACAAAAAATTTAACCTGTTTGTTGAGTCACAAATATCATTAATAAACAAAATAAAAAGCAATGGCCCTAAAACAGACCCTTGCGGAACACCACATATGACCTCTCTACATTCAGAATCTAACCCGTTGATATGTACATACTGCTTACGGTTTGTAATATAACTTTGAAGCCACTGATGTGTTATACCCCTAATTCCATAGTTGGATGATTTTGACAGTAACAAATCATGATTTATGGTGTCAAATGCTTTGCGTAGGTCAATAAACACACCTACAGTGTACTCTTTTCTTTCAATTGCAGCAGTAATATTTTCCACCAGTGCAGAGAGCGCTAGGCTTGTGGATCTTTGTGATCGGAATCCATAGTGTTTGTCAGAGAGTAATTTATGTTTATCTAAAAAGTGTGTTAATTTTTGTGCAAACCATTTCTCAAGGACTTTAGAAAACTGTGAGAGCGGAATTACTTTAGCAACTTTCATTTGTTCAGGAAAAACACCAGTTTGTATGGACAGATTACAAATGAAAGTCAGTGGTTTAACAATGCAGTCAATAGTTCTTTTAATAATTGTCATGTCTAGTCCATCACTGTCTGTGGAGGTTTTATTTTTACATTTATTTACAATAGATAAGATGTCATATTCACTGATCTCTTCAACAAACAGGGACTGAATGATTCTGCTTCCCAATTTGCACGTTTTATTTCCGTTAGTTGCATTCATAGTGTTCGCAATATTGGCTCCAATATTTGTAAAAAACAAATTACATTTATTGGCAATACTTTTGCTGTTGTGATGCACAACATCCTTCTCAATGAAATGATCTGGTATCTTTTCTTGTCTAGAGTTTGGTCTTATTACTTTATTCAGTACATTCCATGTTGCTTTCATGTTTCCATGATTTTCTCTCAGTTTTCTATTATAATAGTCCTTCTCTGCATTTCTTATAATGCCCGTTAATTTATTTTTATATGTTTTGTATTTGATCTCACTATCTGAGGTCCGTTTTTTTAAATAGTTTTTTATACAGTTTGTTTTTCTTTTGGCATGCTCTTATTATTCCTTTAGTAAACCAAGGTTTTTCCCTTTTAAAGATTTTTTTAGAAAGCTTCATTGGACACCATTTGTTATAAATTGACAAATTATTCACATTGCAGGGGTAATTAATGAAGGGGAATTACTCTTACACGTTTCCAGTCAGAAGGCACTTCACAGGTAGAAAAAGATAAGTTAAAAAGATCTGCTAAGGGAAAAGAAAGAACATGAGATGCAAGCTTGATAAATTTGGCTTCGATACCATCAGGGCCAGCACTTGAATTAGATGATATGAAGAAGATGACATAGTCTGGGATCGCGTCTTTAATTCAGACAGAAGACATGTTTTATTGTCGATGGTAGAGACAGCACGAACAAAGCACACGAACAACAGAATGCAAGTGTATTATACAGAGCGGAGGCATGGAGACCTCCAATCAGCAGCTTCCACGGTGCCATGTAGCTTGGCCTTCAGATAGACAAAACAAGGGAAAAGTGCTGGCTTCTGCACATTGATAGAATGATGAGCTTAACTTTAACAAAAGTTGCTTAAAAGTGTTATGAAATCTCACATTCCCCCCTCTGGTCACACATTCACGTGTGACCATCAGGATCGATAAACAGCAACATAACATCATAACTCAATACTTCAAAAACTCAAACTCGGTACTTCACTCGGTACTTCAAAAACTCAGAACTCGGAATACTTCAAAAACTCATAAAACATGTTCGGATCTTTCATAAAACTTGTCAACAATCTTCAGTAAAATGCCAAACTTCATCAGTCGATGGTTCCAGATATTGCTTTGAAAACAGTCTCTCCCACTTCTCTGTTGATTTCTTCAGGCTGCATTTGTGTCGAGCCATGAATTCTTCTGTGACGTGTCTTTCAATCACACGTTTCAGCTTTAGTGTCCAGATTCAGAAATCCAATTGTTCCAAATTAAGTCCTTGCAAAAGAGGACGCTGGTGTTGTCCATGTCTCAGCAGCTCACAGCCTGAGTGGAATCAGGGGCTGTGCAGATTGTCCATGTGCTGATCCAGATGCATGGTTTCTCTTGAGGTTTTTCAGTTTCGGCTTGAAAAAAAAACACTTTTTGTGTAAAAAAAAAAAGTAGTCTTCTGTTCTGTAGATGTTACAGACAAGGCCCGCATCCTTCCACCACCTGAAGAAGATGACATAGTCTGGGATCGCGTCTTTAATTCAGACAGAAGACATGTTTTATTGTCGATGGTAGAGACAGCACGAACAAAGCACACGATCACAGATACAAGAGAATGCAAGTGTATTATACAGAGCGGAGGCATGGAGACCTCCAATCAGCAGCTGCCACGGTGTGCTTGTAGCTTGGCCTTCAGATAGACACAACAAGGGAAAAGTGCTGGCTTCTGCACATTGATAGAATGATGAGTTTAACTTTAACAAAAGTTGCTTAAAAGTGTTATGAAATCTCACAATGATAGTCCATTAATGCACACACACACAAATTATACTTTGGGTTCCTTGTTGCCTTCCTTAGTGAGTGTCTGTGCCAGGAGAGCTCGGCCTGCAGATACAGTAAACCTCTGTGTGACCTCTTGTGTAATTGTTGATGTTGATTGTCATAAATGATCATCTGTGAAAAGCTGGATCCGGCAGAACAGGTCACAGAGACGCACTCCACATCCACCTGTATATTCGTCGTTTCCAAAACAAGGCGTGAACAAAAGTCATTAAACGCAGGCTTGGCCAGGAGTTTACTGTGCCATAATTACTGATTATTACTGTCATCATAATGGGAGAACCGAATGACTTCTATTGTGGAGAGACAAAGGTCACAACAGTTTGTAGGACAAAAGTTTATTAAGAAAAAACATGTCAGGGCTCATTCTTAAGCGAGATCGGGGCCGAGAGACTACATGGCACAAAAGGCGGCGAATCCAATCTGCCTTTTTTCATCATTTTGAGTTTTGTGAAATAACTCACGCAAAGGTTGTCGGCAACAGAACAAAGAACCAGGACAGAAACATGTTCAAAAGAAAAAATTAAATAATCCTCTTGTGGTCCACGTCCTCCAGAGAGTCTTGGTGTTTCTTCTTTCTGTTGTTCAAAAGTAAGAAGCCACCGTCCTGCAAAATGAATGCACAAAATGTAATGTATGTCAGTTTAACAAATGTGAGTTTACCAATGTTTTAAAAGTGAAGATCTTACTGGACCAGCGAGCCTGACATCTCGTCCACAAAGCCTCCTGAGGATCACAGCAGAGATGTGTTCATGAATCATGTTCCCCGTCATGTGATGAGACTGAATATAAGCTCTTTTTCTGTTCGTTTAACACTAGGAAGCCAGAATTATGAAAATACTAGATCTACCAGAGCCATCATTTTGACTGCTCCCATTGAAACCCTAAGTTTACCTGAAAAACTGTTTGTACCAGAATGATTTAAAGTTATGTATTAGGATTTTTTTCTACCTTTACTGACCTTGATTAAGCACAAAAACTGTTGAATAAAACTTAAAATAGAGCAAAAAGTTTGTTGAAAAGATAAATGTTAACTGCTGTAGTAAACAGTGTGTTGCTATGGTAACTAACGCTCGCTCTTCAGATCAGAACCAGGACCAGAACCAGCATCTTGAACAAGTTGTTTACTAAGTGTCCTACATTTGAATTGTAGATTCAGTCAAAAAGACTGATCTGGGGGTTCAAACTAAAACTCCTCACATTTCAAAAATAAAAGATTTATTATCCAGAATTTTATAGAAAGAAACTGCACATATACAAAAGAAAAGTCACAAAGTTAGAATACATCCCTGCAATACATATATGCAAAAATATGATTATATTGGGGCGACAGTAGCTCAGTTGGTAGAGCATTGGCCTTCAGGCCTGAAGGTCGTGGGTTCAATTCCCACCTCTACACCTTCTCCACCGGCTCCCACTGATGACTGCTGTCGTTGTGTCCTTGGGCAAGACACTTAACCCCACTTTGCCCAAAGCCCCCACTGAAAGATCAAGGCTATGCTCACACTCAGAGAGTGGACCACCTGCAGAGGATCAGTGAGGGGTTGGTGCTATGAGACTTGGGTGGCATCTCTGACTGCCACCCCCCTGACCCAGAAATGGATTAAAGGGTAGAAAATGGATGAATGGATGATTATATAGTTAAGTATAAAATAAACAGTTAAACAAGTATGAAGGATTCCTCTTTACACTTGTTTTTCAGCACTTTTTGCAGTGTAGATTTAAACCCAAACCCAGTGTGTGATTGATTACCTGGCGAGCAAAGGGTGTCACAGAACAGTGGGCAGATGTAGCAGGAGGTGCATTCCTGAAAGACAGATCCACAGAGATTACAGCGGCAGTAAACTATCGCACTTTGAAATGGAAGTATTTTGATTGATGGACGCACGTGACACTGCTGACAGGGCTCCAACTCGTCCCCGTCTTCACACGGACAGTGGCCACAGTTCTCAGCGCAGAACTGACAACAGCAGAGAAGGACATGAGCTGTTGTGACGCCAAACATGAGACATGCCGGCAGTCACTCACCTTACAAATAGTGCAAACGTTACATATTGATCCTGAGTGGAAGTCCAGAGCTTTGGCCGGCTTCTCCGTATCCATCGCCTCAAATCCATCTAAACAACAGAGATCATGGTTACGGTCTGAAGAGGACTGTGACAGAAGGATTTGAGTTGTTATGACAAAAACAGATCAAGAGACAAAGTGTAACAGTTAAACCTTTATCTTATCGTCTCAATGCCAAGGGATTTTTTGCTTTGTGAATCTGTCATCTACTGTATTACATCAGCCCGGAGGCATGAACCGGTTCCATCGGTATTTTAATGTTTGTAAAAAGGTCCTCATTTAAAAAGATAAATGTATAGTTTGAGTCTTAATGGACGTCTGTCTTTGCTCCTCACACTCTGTAAGCGACAGATTGTGGCACCACTTATTACAGTGGTCTTGAAAAAATAAGTTGAAAGCATAATGCTGATTTACAAAAGGAATTCCTCCACTTTAGTGTCATCAAAACTTCCATCCAAAATAATAAGATAAGATAATATGTCTCACTCTGCTATGTTCTCTCTCTGGGGGGCACCAGGGGGGGCTCATGAGTGTCTTTGATTCATGTGTTTCTGTCTCTGCTGTACATGGACAACATTGGACAGTTTGGAGTCACATGACCCTGTGAGTCCAACTCCAGTAGAGCTGATGCTCTGTGGAGAAAACCACTCTGTTCGTCCTGAAGCCAGATCCCTGAACACGCCTCCCAGACCAGTCCAGTCTACACCTCCCAGACCAGTCCAGTCTACACCTCCCAGACCAGTCCAGTCTACACTTTGGGGCTTCTGTGCGTGTTGTGGCGATCAGGAACATCTGGATTGGCAGAGCAGGCTGTAGCTGAGGTGTGTTCAGGCACTGGAGAGGAAACCAGCACTCTTTTCTAAAATCTATATTTGATTTCTTTAATTGGGGCAGTGTGTTTACAGTTTTTCTCAGTTGCTTTGGTGCACTTCTCACATCAGACTTAAAGTTCTCAAAACTATTAGTTCAATCTCCTCAACACTGACTCATGTGTGACATCATCGCAGCAGTTTCTCCTTTGAACACTTTACAAATGCTTTTGTTCATGTATCAGTTACTTTCATACAATTCTCTGCTGTTGCACTCACAAACACACACTTCTGAACTATTTTATATGTTTTTAGTGGTAAGGGAAACTGGAGCACCTGGAGGAAACCTTTGCAGACACTGGGTAAACATGCAAACTCCACAGACAGGCCGTGTTTAGAGGTGGACTTGACCCCAGGACCTTCTTGCTGTGAGGCTCCAGTGCTAAAGCCTTTACTTGTGGATATATCTTGATCATTGTTTTCTGCAGCAGGTGATAATCCACATTCTCCAAACGTACAGTGTGTTCTCAGAGGTTATTATCGTTCTGTCGTTCCACTTCCACGTCACACCTCTGCTCCTTTAGACAAACTGCAAACAGATTTCTGAAATAGTTTGTCGAGGATTTTGGCTCTCACTGATAACTGCTCTATTTTGGGACTGCTCTGCACGCACTGGACTGACCTACAGAGCACACCACAACGACCAGAGGCTGAACGGCAGGAGTTACTCTGTGGAAGAGGCTCAAGTCAACTACAACTAGTAACACAACACAACACAATACAACACAACACAATATAACACAACACAACACAACGACCAGAGGCTGAACAGCAGGAGTCACTCTGTGGAAGAGGCTCAAGTCAACTACAACTGCTACAACACAACACAACACAACACAATACAAATCAACACACCACAACACAACACAACACAATACAAATCAACACAACACAACGACCAGAGACTGAACGGCAGCAGTCAGTCTGTGGAAGAGGCTCAAGTCAACTACAACTGCTACAACACAACACAATACAAATCAACACAACACACCACAACACAATACGACACAACACAACACAACACAATTCGACACAACACAACACAATACGACACAATACGACACAATACGACACAACACAACAATCTATGATTCTGTGTGTGTGTGTGTGTGTGTGTGCATGAGTATGTACATGTGTGTGTGTGTGTGTGTGTGTGTATGTGTGTTTGTGTGTGTGTGTGGGTGTGTGTGTGAGTGTACATGTGTGTGTGCGTGTGTGTGTATGTCTGTGTGTGGGTGTGCGTGTGTGTGTGTATTTGTGCATGTGTGTGCGTATGTGTGTTTCTCAGTTGGTGCATTTCTCAGACTTAAAGTTCTCACAACTATTAGTTCCACCTTCTCAACACTGAGTCATGTGTGACATCATCGCAGCAGTTTCTCCTTTGAACACTTTACAAATACTTTTGTTCATGTATCAGCTACTTTCACACAATTCTCTGCAGTTTTTTAATATCATCATTTGCTTCTGTCCTGTCAGTCAGACATTTGACACTTTGGTCGTCACATACAAAACTGTGTTGAACCAGTGTCAAAATGTGTTGCCTTCAAGGGAAGAAGCTGTGAGGTAGAGGAATATGTGAAAGACAGACATGAAGGCGTGGCAGTCCAGGAATAATGTGTTTTCAGTTTACAGTATTATGGACTGTTGTAATTGTTTACATTTATCACAGTTCTACCGTGATGATATTTCTTGTCTTTGTTATTCTTAAATACTGTAAATGACTGTATAATTTTTCACTATGATGTAGAATCGCAAAGAGCATGTGCAGTGAAAGACACACACACACACACACACACACATACACGTTTTTGTTACCTGGTGGGTCCCTTTGACAGGGCCGTTCAGAATGGGACCCATAGACATAATCTTTTTTTACCAAGACTTTAAGTAATACAAAACAGTCAATAGAAACCAAACAACTATTTTAAAGGAATTTTATTTTAGATTTTGTTTTCGAATTGCAGTGATTCTATTTTTGACATAGAATTTAATGCCACTCCATGTCCGATGTCTAAGGTCATCTGGTGAGGCATTAATGCAGGCCAGGCAGTGAGACTTCCCAGGGACCTTTCCAGTCTGTATGAAAGGTGTCATGGTCTTCTCCACAGCCTTCACCTCAGATGCAGACCATGGCTTTCTTACACGTTCTAGGGAGAGAAATAAAAATATATTAGCAATATACACTCCCAGGGTGAGGACCAAGCAGCCTGGCTGTAATCCCCCACCTGGTACACTTACCAGAAGGGGCACTGCCACTACCATGGGGTGCATCTGGATGAATGGTTGAAGGTTCTCCGCTTGAAGTTTCTTTTAGCCCGTCCGTTTGTGAGAGGATCTCTACTGCTCTCCCTGTCGCACAGAAAATAAAAATACAAGTGGCCTTTAGGGGAAAAAAATCATACATATTTTAATAATATCAAGAATTACCTTCAGGCTCAATTTGTATCTGGTCGAGGCTCTTTCCTTCGAATTCCGTCACTCTTCCCTGCTCCATGGCCATCAACACTTTGCTGATTTTGGCCAGCTCCAGTGTCCCCTCTGGTAGTCTGTAATATTGCCTGTGGATGCGAATGTCATGGCCGAGGAAGTTGGCAAGTATGTCCATCTCATTCTCTTTCATATTGAGAACTGTAGACATAGTAGCTATGTGCTTTCTAAGTTTGGTTGAGGATAGCATCTCTGGATGCACCGCACCACATTCTTTGGCTACCTGGCGTAGGGAGTCTGATCCCCTGATGTGGGTGTCTGCGCCCGGGCGGGAAAAGAAGTATGGGTTATGGTCAGAGAGATGGAACAGGCCCTTCTGTTCTCCACCAGCACCTCCATCGAAGCAATCATTTCAGGAGTCAAAAGAACCGGCACTTTCCGACTTCTTTTCCCTTTAATTTCAATGCGTTGAAAATGCTGACACAGCTTTTTCTCAAGTTGGGACAGTCCCAGAGCAATGTCAGAATGGATCCCAGTCTTACTTCTTAAGGTAAAGGCTGTCAGTGGCATCTTTGAAACCTCACCTTCCCTTCTTCGATTGAAAATGATGACCTCACAAAGAGTCAAAACTGCCAGTTTAGACCAATGCTTAGACGTTGGCTCACTTATTAGGATTTGCACATATTCAGGTCGACATACCTCAATATGTGCATGCATGGCTCTAACGTCCTCAGTCAGAGGGAGCAGGTCCGGAGTGTTCCACTTGGCTTGCCGGAGGGTCTGTAGGGCAGCAGAAGAAACACAGACGTCCCACCTCTTCTCAAAAAGCAGCCGGCTTCGTTGGAGGTTTTTAATAAATAGTTCATCAACACAATGCTCCATTTTTGAGTCACATTCAAGAATATCTGCTAGCTTTCTGAGGCTATGGCCGAGTTTGAGGGCCAAGGATGGAGTCTTGTATTGATTTGTTTCCTCATCATATCCAGCCACAGACCTGACTGCATCAATCACATGGTTAAAGTTGGAAGGAATAAAGAAATCCTTAATTGTTTTCAGTTTCCCTGCGGTTTTTGCTTCGTTAATTAACCTACCGACTTCTCTCATTTTCTGCCTAATGTAATCATGCTTAGTCTTATCATGCCCGTGTTTTAAGTACAGGTGCTCTCCGAGTCTCAGAATCCCCTTTTCTGCTTTGACAACACCCGTGACCTCATCCTGATGCATTGCCGAAATTAAAGACCACAGCTTTTTGCTGATGCCCTCCGGTACAGGCTGGGCTAGGGAGCAGAGGGACTGGACCCTACTTCTACCTGGTTTAGCCTGGTTTAGCCTGGTTTAGCCTGGGCATCTTTCTGTGAAAGCCGGCACCTGGCCACATGCCTCCACAGCGACTTTCGCTTAAGCAATGCCCCACAGTCTATACAGTGCAAAAACTCACTGGATTTAACTGGGGAATTTGGCTGTTTAGCTGGGACTAAAGTTCCAATGCCGGCCTTTAAAACCTCAAAATTGTGCTCACGGTTTCCACTATTCCTGATCAAATCAAACTGAAGTTTACCGTGCTTTAGATTTCACAGGTAGAGCCAATGCTCTGGCTACGTCACTTTCATTTCCATGTTTTCTAGTCAAATGACGGGACATTTTGTGGCAGGACATTGAACAGTAGAGGCAGAAGTGTCTCTTGCTGTAAACTCGCCCCCCATTTTTCTTCTTTTGCAGCTGCATGATAACAATCTTATTTGCCTTTGGTTCGTCACTTTCCGAGTCTTGAAGAAAAGTGTTTTTGATTTTTCTTTTTCCATACTTTTTTACAGGTTTCTTCTTGACAGTTAAATCGTCAGAATCTGAGTCGACTTCATCAATTAGGGACTCTTGACTAAGCTGCACAAACAACAAATAATTTGTAATCATTCTATATAACAATTTGAAGTCATGACTTGTAGTCAGCACTTACCAGTGGTTTGTAAGCGTGCGCTTCAGTGTGCTCCTCCATGATTTCTTGCAGCCTAATGAACCACACACTTGCACCTTTTTCTAGCCTGACACCTGATTTCCTTCTGTTGTGCTGCTCCATGATTGGCTCCAGCCTGCTGGACTGAAATTGCCCCAGTGTGCCCCTCCTTGATATCCCGCAACCCCCACCACCAGGGTTCCGACACATAACACACTTTTTTCAGGAAAGTAAACCTCCAGGGGTCCTTTCCATATTTTTACAGAGACTGCATAAGGACCGTTAGAAAAGCATTACCCATTGATTATTAAGCTTGGACCAGTGGGGTCCGGTGTTCGGGCCCCACCACGTAAAACCAGTCCCCATGACGTGAGTGGAATCTCAGGTTATGGAACCCACCAGGAGTTGAAAACAAGTGCACACCTACACACACACACACACACACACACACGCACGCACGCACGCACACACACACGCACACACACACGCACACTTAGAAAAACTGTACCTTCCTCCTCTTCCTCTTGGTCAGCTTCATCCACAGCTTCAACCTCATCCTCATCATCATCATCCTCATCATCATCCTCTTCCTCCTGCACTGCTGCTTCTGTATTTTCCTCCTCTGTAGCAGCTTCCTCCTCCTCATCTTCGTCATCATCAGCAGCTTCAACCACTTCCTCCTCCTCCTCCTCTTCATCGTCATCTTCATCAACCACAGCAGCTTCAACCACTTCTCCCTCTTCTTCCTCCTCCTCTTCTTCATCAGCAGCAGCTTCAACCTCATCATCATCATCATCATCATCATCAGCAACCACTTCCTCCTCTTCTTGCTCTGCTACCTTCTCGATATCTGTTTCTTCTTCCTCCTCCTCCTCCTCGTCATCATCATCAGCAGCAGCAGCTTCCACCTCTTCTTCGCTCTCCCCCTCATCTTCCTCCCCATCTTCCTCATCGTCCACGCCTTCTGCTACACTCTCACCTGCAGCTTCATCTGTTTCCACAACCTCCTCCTCATCATCATCATCATCATCATCATCATCATCATCATCATCGTCAGCAGCAGTTTCCTCCTCTCCCTCTGCATTGTCTTCTTCATGATCCACCTCCTCTGTTTGCTCTTCTTCTTCACCCTCTTCACTTCCAGCCTCCTCCTCTTCCTCTACAGATTCCACAGTTTCCTCACGGCCCGCCTCCTCTTCAAACTCCTCATCGTCGCCGGTCTCTTCTTGCACTACTGCCACCTCTTCATCTCCTCCGGCGTCCTCTTCCTCGGCGGCCCCCTCACCAAACTCAGCTTCCACCTCGCTCCTCGTATCGATAGTTTCCACGGAGTGCGATCGGACGGACACGAGCGGACAGAGGAGCGCCACTAGGAGCCACACCAGAAATGACTTATTGGCCATGTTTGAGGAGCTGCAGGACCAGTGGGAGCCGGCCCCAGAGTGGAAATAAACTGAAGTATGTGTTTGTGTGTGTGTGTGAGTGACAGAAGCACATGGTCAGGACAGAGCCACACACACATGTCCCGAGACCATGTGGGAGGCAGGGGGGGGAGGAGGGGACATGGGTCAGAAAGAACATATGGCAATGAGAGAAGAACAGCTCACGTTCACGCATCACGCCTCATCGACAGAGAAGGCAAATGTATCAGTCTATAGGTGCTTAAAGCTGGGCTACCTAACTTCCAAACCACAACTAAAGATAGATACCTATAATGCTTAGAGAGAGAGAGATACAAATAATGCATATAGAGATAGAGATAGATAGATAGCCACTACAACACACTGCTAGACATCCTTAATTATAGCCTGCATTGTTACCTCCAGCAGAAATTATACTACTGCTAGAGATGTAAATAAGTCAAACTTGTTGAACAGAGTTTGACATTTAACCCACAGCAGTTGTTCTTTTGTTTGTCACGTCTTATTTCCTATTTCTATCCACCTCAAGATTTTCAAGTCAATATTTACAATTTACTGAAAGTTTCAAAACCGACCAGACAGAGGCCTCAGTTCAGAGACTGTGGGCCTGATGGTGCCAGGAGCAGGCTCACCCACAATGGTAATTAACATTGTCTGTGAAAACTAGGCCAGCTACTAGTTACATGAGGTTTGTCACAACCTCAAATAATCAAATCACTTAGAAGCATGGCTAACCAATTCAAACTTGTTTTTATGTTAAAATGTGTGTTAGAATTCTTTGCTGAAGGGGCAAAGGGGGGCCCTGAGTGGGTTTGGCATCAAAAACGGGTTAGGTTATGATGAGATCCTGGTTATGATGAGATACTGGTTATGATGAGATACTGGTTATGATGAGATCCTGGTCATGATGAGATCCTGGTTATGATGAGATACTGGTTATGATGAGATACTGGTTATGATGAGATCCTGGTTATGATGAGATCCTGGTCATGATGAGATCCTGGTCATAATGAGATCCTGGTTATGATGAGATCCTGGTTATGATGAGATACTGGTTATGATGAGATACTGGTTATGATGAGATCCTGGTTATGATGAGATCCTGGTTATGATGAGATCCTGGTTATGATGAAAGACACTGGTGAGAAGTTCACCTGACCCTGAGTTAAGTAAACACAAAAAACAATATTGAGAACGTCGGGTTTTTTGTAGACCATATGTTATTATCGTACTCCATTTAGAATAGAACAGAAAGAACAGTTTTGCCTTTAAAAAGATATTCTTCATAGATCATAGGTTGAGAAGAAAACAATGACTAGAGGAAGTGAAGTCTTACTAATGTACAGTGCATTCAGATTATACTCATTACACAGATTACAGTGAACTATGTTTTTGTTGCAGATGCAGCCATGATAATTATTGCCCTGGGGCAGAGGCCTGACAGGTGGCTCACTTCCAGAGAACGGGTGGAGACGTTTCACGACTGTTTAATTCATGTCTCAATATCCTCTGACATGTTTAATTGAAAGATCACACAGAGCATCATCGCAGCAGTTTCATCATCAGAGGGCGTTGGTCGTCGGTTCGGATTGGGAAAACAAAATAGTGTATTGTTTGTAGTTCTTCAATGTATTTATTTGGTTTATTTGACAGGGACCGTGCACATTGATCCTCATCTCTGTAAATGCAACAGAATTATACAAAACAGTACAATCATGAATAAGGGGCGAAGAAGAAAAACACATATTTACACACAGCACAAAGGCATGCAATAGTTACATTTGAGCAAATAAGGACCATAAACACACTATAAGTTGTGCTCACAGCTGTTCACAGGATGGATTTAAAGGAGGTCATGCCTTTACACTGTGTAGTTTAAAAAGGGAAATGTACAATTGGAACATAAATGTTTAAATTTGATGCATTGTGACAGTTAGCCTGAGGCTGATTCACGTCCGTAGTCCCCCGGTGGGGAAGAACCATGGATCTGGGAAGAACACTCCACGTACGGACAAAGTACTGTATGTATTGTATATTTTGTTTAGTTTTTTGTAAATATGGACAGTTTTTTCTTGCTTCCTATAATATAATATATATAATATAATTAATGGGATTAATAATAACACCGGAGAAACACCTCTAGTGCTCTCAGGTCTGACTTGTTGTTAGAATGTAGTATTCGGCCCCTGAGGGATTGAGATCCAGGCCTGAGAGGCTGAAAAGGCACTGACTGAATGTTCTTTTCCTCAGGGAATAGCACGAGCTGCACCTCTGAGACGCTGTGTGAGGCTTCTGACTGCGATCAACAGATGTCTGGATCATGTGTAAATTTTACACACACAGACTGTATATATTACACATCAAACAAAGGTTAGAATGAGTCATGAGATGCTTAACAGCTTTGAAGAATATTGCTGTTGGAATAACTGGCGGTATCTGCCATTTCCTGGTGATTTTATGGGTTTTAGTAATGACCACTGGATTTGACATTAAAGTAAGTTTAGAGTCCATGATCATTCCCAGAAATTTCAGTTCACATCATTTTTGTTTTACCAGCCACAAAGACACCTGCATGATCGGTAAGGGTGGATAGGGAGACGGACATTGAGATTGTTTTGTTGATGTTAACCTTGAGATTGCACTGATTCCGTGACGTGAACCCTCGAGTGACGTGTGTGGATATGGTATCATTAGCATTCATCTGTGTATGGACATTGGGACAAACTGAGGGAGGTCATTTATGTAGAAAGAAAAGCAAAGGACCGAGAGTGGAACCTTGTGGAACTCCTGTAGTTAGTGGCAGGGGAGTTGAATGGTAATCTTGAATTCTAATGGATTGCTATAGTATACTTTTATCTATGCCAGCCATTCCCAAACTCAGTAACACCGAGGCCCCCTTAAAAATCTGACGGGTCTGCGTGGCCCCCCAAAATAATAACCAAGAAGACAACATTAAGAATAGGCTCTTCTGGTTATTTTATTTTGGGGAAATAGCCTCTGCTACAAACATTGTAATACAAAAATTATTACAGTGGATTATTCAAGTCAAATAATGAACACAAATATTTTAATATTACAAACAAAACATTATAAATTTAACATTAAATAATTATATTATTTTTTTTATGACCTCTCGCGGCCCCCCTGCAGTACCCTCGCGGCCCACCAGGGGGCCGCGGACCCCACTTTGGGAGACACTGATCTATGCTATTTCCTCAAGGACTGATGGCAGGGACGTAAGCGGACGTTGCTTGTGTGTCTTGTAGTCATACTAACATACCGTACCGGAACATTGCACCATGCTGCACACAGAGTTCTTCTGTCATTGCCTTATCAAGTCAAAATGAACAAGGTGTGTCCAGTGACAAGAACAGAACTGGTGGTTTTCACAAAAATAAAGATATACACACATACACTGCATACCTTTCCAAGAGCTCATCATTGCACTGTTTGTGAAGAGTCTTGTAGCAGACTCACACTGCTGGCGCTGACATTGCGGCTCATGACAGGTGCCACAAGAGCTATTTACAGTAAAGTCTTCACTGCTGTACTCTTCACTGACCTTCCAGTGTTACTCTGAAGTACCCTGCACATGCCACTCACAGTCCAGGGGAATACTCCACAAACCTCTATTCAGAACAACAATACACACAACACACTACACAAGGGTAACAGTACAGAGAATACTGCTACTTTACAACATTTCATAAACAATTGAATCACGTTGAAACATTGTTTATTGAAACATGCAAAGTGATTGGCATTTATACATTCCAAATATATATGAAAAAAGGATTAAATGTACCTTATTTCTATATAAAGTTAAAGAAACAATGAATTCAATTTGTGCAAAAATCAAATACAGTACACCGATATACCATATAACGTAACTGGTTCTAACCAAATGCATTTAAATATTAAACAGTCTGAATATATACACATTTCCTCCAAAACCGTTAATAATGCATACAATCTAAACAGTGGTTTTCATGACACCTGAAGACAAGATGAAACATGGTATTCATTCACAACTGTAGTCACAGCTGCCCGGGTGCTGCAGACTGCAAGCAGATTGTACCACCACCAATCGTTCAGGTACAAAGTGGTTTTACAGCGGCCCCACTGCGCCCTCACGGAACACTGCCATCCAGTGGACACATCTCAGATTCAGATTCATTTATTTGCCATTTGCAGTAAAACCACATTGGAAAAACTGTGCAAGACTACCCCAGTGTGCACCAGACAGAGAAGACGACACACACCAGAGCTCTTGCCACGGTG